AAAAACACCACACTGTTTTCATTCTAGTTATTCACGGAATGTGGTTTCGCGCTTTTTTTCGCGGGTTCCGATCCGCATACGTTACTTATTACTCGCCTGGATCAAATTTCTAAAACATCTGAGTTATTTTCAAGCTTCAATAAATCAAACAGCCACAAAGCTTTTGTTCTTTCATGTGAAATTAAAATATATTAAATCGATTTTATCGATTTTTTTTTTTAATTTCATTAGATAATTCAACAACAGAAGAAAGAAGAAAGAAAATGATATGCAATAGAATCACAATGAGCAATGGGGGTAAAATAATATATCTCATATTTATCTCACAAGCAAAATCGTAAAAATGATCGCATTTTGCGAAACGAGGTTAATCGCGGCGCTTGATATGACGGGACAAAGGACAACAATCTGTCACAACAAATATAATTGGCACGCGAGGCTCTTGCCGCCTTATAAAAGTCTGACGCTGAATGAATGAGGCCGCTTTATTACCATCTTAACTCACATAGTGGTATCGTAAAAGTCGCAATTGAGTGAAAAAACACTGACGTTAAACGCCCTATCACTGTTTACGGTGAGTTTTGTGGAAATCATCGACATCGTTTACATCGACATTATCATTAGTTACCCAAGCGAGCTAAGAGATAAATATAAAAAAACTCTTACACGAGTGATATATTAAATTATATAGTAATAGAAACTCTCCGTGTCTCAAACTTATTTGTAAGTTTTATTATATATATATCCACTTTTTTCTATAATCCTATCCACTTTTTTATAAATTTTCTATAAAAAGTTTTAAAAATTATTAAGACAAAAATTTAAATTTATTAGTCAAATAGGAACTAATTTTAATTAATTCTAATTCTAATTATATTAAAATTTTGATATTGAAATGAGAACACTAAATCTTTTATTACTAAAAAATATGCAAGATTAAATTAGATGTAATATCACAAGAAACAAATATGTAACACATTTTTTTGTTTTATTAATTATGACATGATTTATTGCTCTTTTAAATATAAATCTTAATTTGGAAGTATTTATACAAATGTTGCTGCAATATAAATACGTCATTGAAGGAAATAGACTTCCTGATACTTGCTACATTCATGTTGCGCCATAACTAGCACGGTGCGTAATAAAGAATTGATTTATCTTGAAGTACATAGCGTCAACGTTTATTCGCCATATTCATCATGCGTTAAATCTGCGCGCGTGCCAGTCGACAAAATAACGAGATAGCTGGGAAATAATACATAACTATTATCCTGAAGTAATATAGCATGCTTGAAATTGCCGCGCCTAAAAAATTTCTTGATTTCCTACTCTTGATAACGCAAAATCGTCGAAAAATAGAAACTAAGAATGTGAAAGCCGCACTTTTAACCCCGAAGCTATTTATGCTGCAAATTTTAAATAATTAATCCCTATCTTAATCAATCTCAATCAGTAACTTAAATATTAGATCGCATTTGATGACCGAAGATAAATTTTTTTATATGTAAACGTAAAATGCGCAAAATTTATTTTTTTCTTCACTCCTTTATTTTTCCAAAAACTAAAATAAAATAAAATAAAATAAAAATAATATTTTTAACTTCTCAATCAATCATTTTCAGCCATAAATTCTGAGATCTTCCATAAGGTTAACAGAACATGTTAAGCTATCCTCGTCCATTAGTTATACGTGGGAATAAGATTGAAGAGAAGAAAAAAAGAAAAACGCAAGAGTGCATCGAGCAAATCGATGACGCGATCGGCCGGCTGCTTCTAGAGCGAAACGACCCAGATTCTACCGTACGCGCTTATAATCGGACTGATATTACATCAGAAAGCAATATATATTCGCGTAAGATATTTGCCATCACTGTGACCAATCTTTAACAATCATTGACAAATTGAAATAATGTGTTTAAGACATGTAAAAAAAATCTTCGTACTTTAAAAATCTTAAATATATTGAAAACAAATAAAACTTTAATAGATAAAATGCAACTCTTGTTTTTTATATTCTGTTATTTGACTCTGTAATAAATATTTTTTAAATAAATCTAAACGTCATCTAAACGTTATTATTTTTAATTATGATATTCATACTTATTAATGTATAATATGTGTATAAAATATTAATAGATGAAATATCTACGAAGGTAAATTAATCAAACATTAATCAATATTAATCAACAAATTCATTTAATTTTCTCATTTGATGTATGAAACGAATTAGAATAAATAATTAAACTAACTATATATTTTTTCTAATTTTATTCTTTTATTATTTTCTGGTTTTCCCTCAAAAATTAGGTTGAAATCTGCATCTTGCAGATATCGCCATGGAATACAGAGTTAAAAGGAAAATCGGAGTTCTCTGTTATACCTAAGACGATTTGATTTTCTTTACGACAATCGCTTGGAAAGCACGAGCAACAGCGTAAGGTTGGTGCAATTGCGGATCTGGAATTTTTTGATCGCGCGAGCGAGAATGGCGAAGGGCGAAAGGGAAATCGTTCTCGTGAAAGACCCCCTTTCCGCTTAAGCAATCTCGCTTTTTCTGTTCTCTGTCGTTTCAGAATACACAAGCAAAAGTCTGACCAACATCCGATGTGATGGAAAATATTTGCATAATATTTCCGAACAAAAGGAACGAGAAGAATGATAGAAACATTTTTTTCTTTTATTGTTTATTTATTTAAAAAAATGAAATTATAATATGAATACTTCGAGCACACAGAAAAGATCTAGAAAAATTTTATAAATCATAATTCTTTAAACAGTTATAAAATTATGTCGTAACAAAATTAAAAATTTTAGTTAAGTTTCTAAAGATAAAGATTAATTGTCGTAACATTTTTGAAAAAGTGAATTAAATTCTTAAGTTTATAATTAGATTTAAAAATTATATAATGCTTTCTAGATAAAATAATGCTAAAATAATATTGTTACAAATTATGTAATATTTGTTACAATGAAAAAATTTATATATTCATATAATTATATATATTATTCAATATCTTCTTAACATTTGTAGCTTTAAAACTGAGATCAAGAGAAGAAATCAGTTTCCAGACTAAACAGAACGTGTTATGCACAGCGAAGTGTTTCGTTACAATATATCTATTACGCGTTACAACGTTCCGACGAAGCTTGCCTCTCACGTTTGCATTCGTATATATGCACATGCTATTTACTCGCAAGGTAGTTGCACGCTGCAGTGATTAACGAACTCGGTCGCTTCTGTTTCTTAAGTGCACCCTTCACCAGATTCCGCGCGGATGTAGTTGATATCGTGTTTGTATATCGCATTTGCAATCGAATGATAATGTTGCAATGGTTTGCGATGGTACGAATACGTATCGGACGATCCATCATGCAAAAGTAATACGAAGTTGCAAAATAAATTTTTTTTTCACTACAAGTTTCCACTTCAGAAATAATATTTGTAAAATTTATGTAATGTATTTATGTAATTTATTAATTTATTTAAATGAGAAAGCGAAGAGAATTAATAATGATAATAATATAATGCGCACGAACGCGAATGGAAAAATTCCTAATAGCTTAGATTTTTATAAACTTAGAAAGGAGGAACTTAGGTATGCATTTTTATTTACATATTTGTGTTCATACTTTACATCATTCTTTGGTTATGATTTTTACTTGATTTACTTCGTTTTTATTTGATTTATTTATTAGGTTGCTTTTATTGATCATGATCATTGACGAACTTGAATGAATGTAATAAGATATTTACATAGGGTATTTTAAAAATCACGGCCGCTGCGCAGATTCCCGAAAAATTACACGCTAAAGTCTGCAAGTCAGTATTCGTGGCGCCAAACGTGTAACGAGTCTCACACGTGAAAATTGAGACAAGTATTTTGATTGCAACAGCGCATAGCCGACATATCATTTGTGGGAGGTCAACCGCATAAACAGAATTATGGCATGCCGATAATAAACAGTCGTAGATATCGGATTGCTAGACTTTGATTAGTAGGAATCGATTTTGCACGATACACATATGAATAACAACGGGATAATACATAATTTCTAGCTACTGTTGTAGCTCGATGTAACTGATCATCAGTTACAATTGCGCGCACGATATCGATCGCAACAATTGTCAGTGAAGAATAAAAGAAATGATGAAAATATTTATTTAGTGCTTGACTTTTTGTTTTAAATAATAATATTAATGTGTGTTTCTTCATTTCTTATTGTTGAAATACACCAAATTTCATGAAATAGAAAGCGAAAGCAAAATAATTGTTTTCTGTAATGTATTATTTATATTTTCTATAAATAATATATGTAAAGAAATCGAAAAGAATAAAAGAGGAACAATGTAATATAAAACAATTTAACTGAAATAAAGAAATATTTATAATTCATTCAAAAAATTTTTATATAGACTATTTTATAAGCATTTATTTAATTTTTTATTATTAAGTACGAGACATCCTGATTGGTTGATTGGAATGGAAGCTTATCTTGATTTATTATTAGTTATCGCAAGTTGTTATTAGTTACGAACAAAATATAATTTTTTGTATATATTCTAGTTTTCTAAAAAAAACGCGGCAAATTTCATTATTACATCATATCTCTTTTACTATATAAAAAAATATGATAATCCAAGGATACACACATAATAATCTACGCACATAAATACCGGCGCCGCCGGTTGAATCGCAAATTAGTTCGTGCGATCATGATTGCGATCGCGGGAAAATAGAAATCGACGAACGATCAATCGAGATTAATATCGCAAGACTTAATCGTAGGCATCCTGACCGGAGCCGGAGTTGCTTTTCTGCTTAATTTATCGGAAAGGTTTAACCTCGCATGCGTGAGATTTCGCGGCTTCTATCATGTTTGCTGAACACAAAGTACTGCGTTACGTAAAAACGCTAGTTAAATCTACCTTTCGTTATAATTTTTATAAAAATGATATGCCTAAACGGAAAAATACTTTTCAATTCTTACTTTTTGTAAAATTTTTTAAAATGTTTAAATAATGCACAAGTAAAAATTAAAAACTTTCCTTTGAGAACATATGTAATGTTTTTGTTCTTTCACATGATTTTGTATTTATGTGCTAATACTAAAATGTGCTAATGCTAAAAAATTAATATTCCAAGCTTTCAAAAAAATTACTCATTAATTGAAAATATTTATCGAGCATTTAATGCAGCATAAAATTATTTAATTTGCAAATTTTTTAAATGTTCATAAAACAGTTATCGCGAGAGATGTAATTTGTACTGGAAAGATGTTTCAATGGGGTTAAAGAAAACGGTGAAACACAAAAATCAAACAGCACGCGAATTGGGTGCACTTTGACTGATGTCGCGAGGAAATTCAATCAAACACAATCACCTATCGCGTTAACGCAATTTATTAGCATTACCCCTCAGGCTAAGACTCTCGCCGAGTCAATCAAAACGCCGACAGACTGCGGTCGCATAATCGAGGGAGCCAAAGGAGGAATTACCCGTGAGCGGAGAATGCCCCGCGGCTGTTCTCATGTCAGAGAGAATGAGAGACAGACAAGGAGGGAACGAAAGAACTAATCTTCAACGTCTGCGACCTACCGCAATAAAGTTCTCTGCCACGGCCGACGGCGTGGCAGATTAACGTAACTCACCTCGATCTCGCGTTGCGTCTGACCTTGCTATTGTTCGTCGCGCTATTGTGACACCGAGCTTGTGGCACTCGAGGCCATTAACAGGTAATGGCAAAGTGTTAAAAGACCGATAAAAGACCGATCGACAGTTTCGTGGCACGAGTTGCACGCCACCTTTGATTTACGTAGATGTCATTGTTACGCGATCGATATCATTTATGTCGTGTCGTTGCCGTATCGTGTATGTATAGCGAAACACCTGTGAAATAATCGACGTGAGTTATATTATTGAAAATTGCTTTCTAAGAAAGATAATAAAGGATGTCACACGCTCCAGGTAACCTGCAAAAATTTTTAATTTAAGTTACGACTATAAACGCATAGACATTATTAGAATTAATAGCTTGAATTTTCTAATATTTTCTCTTTTAATACATAAAATTATTTCTTAAAGATTTTTAAAGCAAACGAGATATAAGTACAATTATATATAATTTAAATTTTTTATATTAATGTAAAATAGCGAGAAAGTATCATGAAATAATTATAATAATTATTTTAAATATTTATAATAATTATTTATTACATTAAGCAGAAATAATAATTATTAATATATTATAATCTGAAATTATTACAGTTATTACAGTTACATATAATGCATGAAAATAAACTTTTTTTAAGAAAAAAATAATTTAATTTTTTTATATATAATACATCACGAATTTACATATATCAATTCCAATGATTATTTTTTGTCTCTTTCTTTTTTTTTAATAATTCATACTATGTCTTATTAAGTATCAAATGATATAATTTTATCAAATTTTTATTGCATTCTGACTGATGTAATAAAACATCGATGAGATCCATTAAATACGTATAATATTACGTACTAATATTTTTAACCTAATCAAGTAATTAGCAATGTAAGCAATTGTAAAGCAATTATCTGAGATTTTTACCTTGAAAAATAGCCTTCTGGATACATAAACATCTTTTATAAATAATTACCATTCTTGTTTTTTGAAAATGTACGTATAGATTATTGCTGCACGGCAAAGAGGAATTCATTTCACGGCAGCAATAATTCACAACATTTCGCCATAATAATTTTCCCATTACTATGTAACATAATATATAACACGTATAATGCTTGTCGCGTATGCTGTCATAAGATACAAGTATTAAAAACACACAACACCCCACATTTGCGAGACGTCCAATTGAATTTTCTCGATATTATGCATATTAATTAATGCATATTATGGTATTAACGGCATATT